AGGTGACGCGAGGGGACTCGTGATGTCATATTCCGATTAGTTTATTTCGAAGATTACATTTTAGTTATTCGATTTTGAGACTATGGTTTTAAAAGGGTTTATTTCGAAAATTACATTTTAGTCATTCGATTTTGAAACTATGGGTTATAAAGGGTTTAAAGATCGAGATTATAACACCCACAAAAGAGATGTGCTTACGTTTATAGAGGTTCTGCTTTCTTTATTTTTATTTTTTAAATTGCATATAATCGATTTTTTTTTTCATATTTCTCGTTGTCTCTTCATTAGAAGGGATTTCTCTAAATTATTACCAGTAACCATTCATTTCAATTAAAGCACTTCTTTAATTTTAATCATCTATATACAAAATGAACCAACAAAATTACAATAACAGAAACTAATTATTTATGTAGGCGAATTAATGTTTATTAATTTATACCATAACATTGACCTTTAACTACTAAACGCATATTGAGAATCTATGGATCAAATTCAAATCAAACCATGCAGGTGTGGATTAAAGAATATTGACTAAAGTGATTTTCTTATTTACACAACTGACAGTGACGTATTATTATTTTATTATCGATATGATTAAAATGGAAAACCATAATGATCCATCAACCATAGTATATGTTCTAGACTTCTAGTATTACACCAATTTATAGGCTTCGAATACGTATAAAGGATCCAACAAAATGATATAGAATAGTTAGTAACTTAGTAGATATAGGGTCTAAATGGTAACCGTAGAATTTATGCAGAATTTCTACGGAATTGCTGAATTTGCTGAATTTTTAGTGATTTCTTGTGGAATTTGCTGAATAATGTCAAACTTAAATGGTAACTGCGGAATTTGCAGAATTTGCGAAATTTGCTAAATTTTGAAAAAGTAATTAATTAAATAAAGAAATTTTTCAAAAAATGTCACTTTTCAAAAATACTACTTTTCAACAAACAAAAAAAATTCATTATATCATTTATATTTAGGTTAACTATCTTGTATAAAGTTTAGTTTTGAGGGTTTAAAGAGTTTTAGTGGTCAAAACATTTTTTAGGGATTATAATTTTAAGATTTAAGTTTTAAAAATCCATAATTAGTGATATTTTTGTAAATGAATACCCCTAATTATTACAATATTATTTTAGAATTATCAAACAAATTTTAGAATTATTACAATATTATTTTAGAATTATCAAGCAAATTTAGTAAGATTTAATCATTCTACATATACATTTAGGGGACAATCGT